ATTATCAGTTATTTTTTGTCTGTCTCAGAAAACCTTCTGCCTGGGCATTCCAATCTCTTTAGCAAACCTGGTATTTATTATCCACGCTTGTTGGTGTTCTGTCGTACAATTCTGAGGTTGCCCTGGGGCCATCCCTCTGAACATAGACTTGCCCTGTGACATACATATCCAAGCAACTGGCCATATCTTTCATTGGTAATGGGTAAAGAGAAAGGAGCAGAGCTGGAAGTGAAGCAGGAAATTGTACAACATAAACATTTCAGGATCACTAACATTGACATCATGGCTAACATGCCTAGGTACTGCAAGATGAGATTGTCAGCAAATCATTTTCAGATTTTACCAGACTACTTTGTCATATTTGATTCCTAAATATGCTTTTGGCTTATTATCTGTGGTATAATTTTATAGTCATAGAGTTTATAACGTAAAATGTACTAATCCAAAAGCTAGAAGAAGACAAGAAATAAGATCAGAGAAGAACTGAAGGAGATAAGAGACATGAAAAACTCTCCAAAAAAAAAAAAAAAAAAAAATCAATGAATCCAGGAGCTGGTTTTTTGAAAAAATTAGCAAAGTAGACCGCTAGCTAGACTTATAGAGAAGTAAAGAGAGAGGAATCAAATAGATACAATAAAAAATGACAAAGGGGATATCACCACTGACCCCACAGTAATACAAAATAGCATGTGAGAATACTATAAACACCTCTACACAAATAAACTAGAAAATCTAGAAGAAATGGATAAATTCCTGGACACATACACCCTCCTGAGACTAAGCCAGGAAGAAGTCAAATCCCTGAAGAGACAAATATCAAGTTCTGAAATCGAGGCAGTAATTAATAACCTACCAACCAAGAAAACCCCAGGACCAGATGGAGTCACAGATGAATTCTACCAGAGGTATAAAGAGGAGCTGGTACCACTCCTTCTGAAACTACTGCAAACAATTGAAAAGGAGGAACTTCTGACTCATTTTATGAAACCAGCATCATCCTGATACCAAAACCAGGAAGAGACACAACTAAAAAAGAAAACTTCAGGGCAATATTCCTGATGAACATTGATGCAAAAATTCTCAATAAAATACTGGCAAACCAAATCCAGCAGCACATCAAAAAACTTATCCACCACAATCAAGTCGGCATCATCCCTGAGATGCAAGCCTGGTTCAACATACACAAATCAATAAACGTAATCCATCACATAAGCAGAACCAATGACAAAAATCAAGTGATTATCTCAATAGATGCAGAAAAGGCCTTTGATAAAATTCAACACCTATTGATGTTAAAAATTCTCAATAAACTAGGTATTGATGGAATACATCTCAAAATAATTAGAGGTATTTATGACAAACCCACAGCCAATATCATATTGAATGGGCAAAAGGTGGAATCATTCCCTTTGAAAACCAGTACAAGACATGGAAGCCCTCTCTCACCACTCCTATTCAACATAGTATTGGAAATTCTGGCCAGGGCAGTCAGGTAAGAGAAAGAAATAAAAGATATTCAAATAGGAGGAGAGCAAGTCAAATTGTCTCTGTTTTCAGACGTTATGACTGTATATTTAGAAAACCCCATTATCTCAGCCCCAAAACTCCTAAAACTGATAAGCAACTTCAGCAAAGTCTCAGGATACAAAATCAGTGTGCAAAAATCACAAGCATTTCTTTACATCAACAATAGACAAGCAGAGAGTCAAAACATGAATGAACTCTCATTCACAATCACTATAGAGAGAATAAAATACCCGGGAATATAGCTAACAAGGGATGTGAAGGACCTCTTCAAGAAGAACTACAAACCACTGCTCAAGAAAATAAGAGAGGAACAAATAAATGGAAAAAATTCCATCCTCATGGATATAGGAAGAATCAGTATCGTGAAAATGGCCATATTGCCTAAAGTAATTTATAGATTCAATGCTATTCCCATCAAACTACCATTGACACTCTTCACAGAATTAGAAAAAATTATTTTAAATTTCATACAGAATCAAAGAAGACCCCATATAGCCAAGACAATCCTAAGCAAAAAGAACCAAGCTAGAGGCATCACGTTACCTGACTATACTCCCAGTCTGCAGTAACCAAGGCAGCATGGTACTGGTATCAAAACAGACATATATACCAGTGGAGCAGAACAGAGACCTCAGAAATAATGCCACATATCTTACAACCATCTGATATTTGACAAACCTGACAAAAACAAGCAATGTGGAAAGGATCTCCTATTCAGTAAATGGTGCTGGAAAAATTGGCTAGCCATATGCAGAAAACAGGACCCCTTCCTTACACCTTATACAAAAATTAACTGAAGATGGATTAAAGATTTAAATGTAAAACCCAAAATCATAAAAACCCTCTAAGAAAACCTAGGCAATGCCATTCAGGACATAGGCATGGGCAAAGACTTCCTGACAAAGATGCCAAAAGCAATTGCAACAAAAGCCAAAGCTGACAAATAGGATCTAATTAAAGAGCTCTGTAAAGCAAAAGAAACTATCATCAGAGTGAAAAGGCAACATACAGAATGTGAGAAAATTTTTGCAATCTACCCATCTGACAAAGATCTAATATCCAGAATTTACAAGGAGCTTAAACAAATTTACAAGAAAAAAACAACTCCATCCAAAAGTGGGCAAAGGATAAGAACAGACATGTCTCAAGACATTTATACAGCCAACATATGAAAAAAAGCTCATCATCACTGATCATCAGAGAAATGCAAGTCAAAATCACAGTGAGATACCATCTCACACCAGTCAGAATGGTGATTATTAAAAAGTCAGGAAACAATAGATGCTGGCAAGGCTGTGGAGAATAGGAATGCTTTTATACTGTTGGTGGGAATGTAAATTAATTCAACCATTCTGGAAGATAGTAAGGTGATGCCTCAAGGATCTAGAGGCAAAAATACCATTTGACCCAGCAATCCCATTACTGGGTATATACCCAAAGGAATATAAATCATTCTACTACAAAGACACATGCACATGTATGTTTATTGTAGCACTGTTTACAACGGCAAAGTCATGGAATCAATCCAAATGACAATCGATGATAGACTGGATAAAGAAAATGTGGCACATATACACCATGGGATACTACACAGCCATAAAAAAGAATGAGATCATGTCCTTTGCAGGGACATGGTCATGAAGCTGGAAGCCATCATCCTCAGCAAAGTAACACAGGAACAGAAAACCAAACCCCATATGTTCTCATTCATAAGTGGGAACTGAATAATGAGAAAATATGAACACAGAGAGGGGGACAACACATACCAGCACCTGTTGGCGGGTGGGGAGTGAGGAGAGAAAACTTAGAGGATGGGTCAACAGGTGCAGTAAACCACCATGGCACACATATACCTATTTAACAAACCTGCACATTCTGTACATGTATCCTGTTTTTGTTTTTTTTTTTTTTTAAGAAGAAGAAATTTTTTAAAAAATCATAAAGAATAGTAAAAAGTACATGAGGCTTTCTGTAACTTTCATTAACAATTTTTTCTTTAGTTTTCCCTTAAGAATCTGGCAAAGGAATACCTGAAGAAAGCTTTCATAAACTGCTGTAAGTTCCTCTGTGTATCACATGGTAAAAGAAGTGTCATGAAGTTCAGGCTATCTAGTACCATCCCATCATCTTCATTTGAGTAACCAACCCATCATCTTCATTTGTGTAAGCAGGCTGGTTCAATGGTACCAGTGCTTCACTGCTAAAACAAGATAGCTAAGCATGACCAGTGTAATGGCTGAATACTGCTGGGCTTTTCTCAGCAGCCCTGGGAACTTGAGACTTAAGACTCAGTATCAGTGAGGTTTCAGAGGACTTCCCAAATAAGAACTTGCCTTTTGTGCAGTGTCTCCATCCATGGCTAAAGAGCCCCCAGAGCAACCACTGTTATTTCTATAAGCATAGGCAATCTAGTCCTTAGAAAGACCTGCAGCTGGGTTTTACAATATGATGGCTATTAGGGAGGAAGATTTTGGAGCTGAGAGGGACATTCTTACTGGTCTATCTGAACACGTGACTGGTCACAAATCAAGACTAGACTTGGTACTCTCTGTGCCCCTCGCTCTCTTTGTCTCAGGTTCACATAAAATATTGCTTAAAAACAAAGCCAAGCTAGGCCTCAGGGAGATATGTTGCTGGGGTGCTGTCTAGTCCTCCCACTACGTCATATTCCTAGCATCCTTACAGGAACGTCCTACAGGCCCCACCAGACTATCAAATTGAAGCCACCAAAAGTCCTCTCATGTGACTTCATACACAGATCACCCAGCATGGCTCTGATGATATAAGCTGTCACTTAACTTGCAAGTGAACTAACTGAATGTCAAGATCAGTCGTTTGTGGTCTTGCCATCTGATGTCAGACTTAGCTCACTGGAGATGCTCATTGAAATCATTTAGGAAGCCAAATAAGATGTATAGCAAGTCCAAACCCCCACCAGGAGGAAGGGAAAACATGACCCGTTTTCTGCAAACCTTTGCTTTAGTTTGGTTTTCTTCTTTGAGAGTCTTCAATCAGGATTACAACTGGCTTGAATCCAGCTCATTTTAGTATAAGTGTATAACTTGCTATGTGATATTGTATAGTGTGGACAGCAAGACAAAAGGGCATATTTCCAATCTTCTCTACAAAAGAGGAACTAGCCAGAACCAGCTGCCAAAAATGCTGAAATAGCCTGTGGCAGCCATCCCACAGCTACCAGGTAGTGCCTGAGATCATCGTTTTCTCCTCTATTTTCTTCTCTCTGCCCTACTCTGTTTTCCTTGTGCCTCAATCTTAGACCTAGCAATCTAGGAAACTTGCTCAGTTCCACTAGCTACAACTTCAGAATAAAAGAAAATGACAATCCCTACTAATCTAAAGCATTATTTTCATGACTTATTCTAGAATCCCAGAACAAAGTAAGGCTCACGTTCAGAGCAGGTAGTGTTCACAAGCACAAAATTGTACATAATAAATGTACACAATGAACTTACCATTGACATTAATCAATGAGAGAATATTGTCCTGGTGATCAAGGAGGCGCTTAACTTCAAGAATATCCCATTCTAGTGATCCTTCTGTGGGTGCTACCAACCTGAAAATTACTTAACAAAAAAGACAGATGTAATTTTATTACAATGCTCAAAGAGGATAAAATACTACTCCTACTCTGAAGCAAGCATTTCATTAGGTGAAAAATACCTACCATACTGAAAAACCCATCTCCAAAAAAAAGCCTTATTCATACTACTTTAAACTATTTCTTTTAAATGCTTGAGATTTTCTACTAAAACCCATACTGAATGTGTCCTGAGAACCCTCTTCCTCTACCGACTTTGCCAAACACTGAAGCTCCCATTCTCTCTAGGATTTCAATGCATGTCTGGGTATCTCAGCTTACTCCCTCCCTAGCCAGTAACTAGCCCACATCGCTGAATCACCTCCACCAGCAGCTTTCTCTACTCATGTCCCCAGGCCAGTAAGTGCTGCTACAGAATAAGCTGCAAATCAAAGCTTAACTTGAACTCAGTGAAGACATCAGCAGCTTCTTTTTAAAAAAGTTTTTGATTCCTAGGCATATACCATTAAATTATAAATTCTCTGAGTATGTCTTATAATTTTTATATATCATACAGTTCTTCTGACTATAGTAATGTTCAATGTGTTGCTTTACTCATTATCTGACTTTAACAAAGTTTTATTTAAAGTAGTATAAATCCTAACTTTAATCCATACAGAAAACCCATAATAAAATCCACTGACGTGATTCTACTGACAACATTTTCTAAACACTTAATGTTCCAGGAACTCTAGATACCAAATGTGAATAAGGCCCAGTCACAAATGCTCAGTCTAGAGTGACAGTGGGACTTGTTTATGAACAGGCTTAACATCAATATACTGAGTGCTTTAATATACCACTGGACCAACTGCTGTGGATGCTCAAAGATTAGCATGACTAACATCTGAGAAGTAAAAAGTTTCAAAGATCATGTCCTTTTCAAATTACTAAAGTACCTCTTCTTTCTCATACTTCTCTCTGGAAGACAGGTCATGCCATGCTTCTTTTTGTGTCTCTGACAGTATTTTACCAAACCACAAACCTCTAACAAGGTTATTTAATCCTGACAGCCACTCATGTTCAAACTGTGGGTGTCAAAAGAAGGTTTTTCAGTCAATACAAAAGAGAACTCTCTGATACATATCAGTGTTGTGGGAAATTCGACCTTAGTTGGAATACTACCAACTGATCCTGAAATTGGAATTTTGGAATAACAAGCAATATACTGTTTAACCAAGCTAACAATACTGATTAAAATACTGATGAGAAAAAGAAACCTGGCCTCACATCCTGAAAATGCCTCAGTCTCTGTATCACTTCAACAATGCCAAGAAGCCAAGACTGGGGCACATGCAGGTGTCCCTTAAAGAAAAAAACTAATCAGTCCTTCCAGCATGTTATACAATTCTAGTTCAAAATATACAAAAAGAAAAAATTCATACTCACTCAGTTCTTTGCCAACTGCTGCCACAACACAGTTCTTAGGTATTTCAACCAAAGCACTAATACCTCCAAAAACATATAAAACAAAGGTCAAATTATTTTTTTTTTTACATTATATCAAAAACAAAAACATTCTCAGTTTTACGTCAATTGTTATCCATAAAGAAGATAAAGCACACAGAACTAGCTCGACACATACTTCCTTGCTTGCTTACTCATAAAAAATGATTTCATTAAATGCAAGTTTCTGAGACTTTGGAAGACATTACTGAATGAACCTGGAAACCATCATTCTCAGCAAACTGACACAAGAGCAGAAAATCAAACACTCCATGTTCTCACTCACAGGCAGGTGTTGAACAATGAGAACACATGGACACAGGGAGGGGAGCGCTACACACTGGTGTCTGTTGGGGGGAAATAGGGGAGGGACAGCGGGGGGTGGGGAGTTGGGGAGAGATAGCATGGGGAGAAATGCCAGATATAGGTGATGGGGAGAAAGGCAGCGAATCACACTGCCACGTGTGTACCTATGCAACAATCTTGCATGTTCTTCACATGTACCCCAAAATCTAAAATGCAATAAAATAAATTAAAAAAAAAAAGAACAAAGTGTTTTTTGTTGTTGTTGTTGTTTTTTTAACTATTGCGATAGAGTGGTAGATTCAGCTATTCAAACTTATTTACCAGGGATCTCTTAAGATAACCACCATCACCCATTTACAAGATGGCTAGCTCAAAAGGGATGTAAAATTGGGGTTTTCCCTTATATAAATTTAAGAACCCTGAGCAGGCTCCCTGGTGCTGAATCAACTAGCCAACAGTCAGCAGCTAAGAAAGCGGCCTTCAAATAGTACGTTTGTAATCCACTAACACATGTACCAATTTTCTTCTATTATTGAAATACTCAGATTCAGCATTCTAACACATTTCACTTATTTAGATAAAGAGGTCTGAGTATCTTTTCATAGCCAAATCACATTTTAGGGTAACTATAACTTCTATAAGGTATGTTACCATTTTACTTCTGTTGGCATAAGTAAAAGAGTTGATTTATTAGAACCACCACGTGTTGGCAAAAAAAAAAAAAGTTTAATTTTTCCATTATGATATATATGTAATTTATATATGCAAGTGTGGAAAATGGTCTACTCATTTGCTTATCTTTCCCATCCAAGGACTAACTATTGTGATTTTGAATAGTATTTCTGGCTAACACAAAACCTACTTTTGTATTGGCTAGAAATACTATTCGAATCACAACAGTTACTTTCTTATATACAAGGAGGAGGAAACGGTGCTGCGAGGTAGGTGAAGGAGTGGTACAGAGAAGGCAGAGGAGATGGGAGAGCAGCAGGGTGGGTAGCAAGAGAAGAATTCTAAATGTAGCGAAGAGCTTGCATAAAATCTTTCACTAAATTATTTGTGAAAATACTAGAAGCCCAACAATCCAGAAGTAGCAACCTAATATTCAGCATCACAGAACATACTGCTGGAAAGGACATGTGTGCCCTGCGGTCTAGTCCGGGGCTCCTTCCATTGTATCACATTGACTAAGATTATCTTTGCTTATTTCCAAACACAGAATAACTGCATGTAAAAGCTCCACCAGCCCATAAATCAAGCAGGGCTTATGAAAGGACATCATGACCTAAGGGTTTAATAACACTATTAATGATCCAGCCTCTAGTAATTTGGAAAATCCTAACGACCAATAGCTCACCAATGGTAACCCATGGCCTTTTCAAGGCTTTCCCATAGATTCCCTCAAAGCCTTCTGTTAACTCTTGAGACACTGATAAACGGCAATACTGTAATTACTTAATGTATAGACTCAAAGAAAACTTGCAAAAGAAAGGGAAACTGCAATAAGAGGTGGCTATTTCCAGGAACACACCGAAGATTCTTTTCAGCCCCAATTTCAACATTTTACAAGTAACTTTATTAAAATAAAATTCACAAACACCACTGGCTAATGAGAGTGAGGAAAATGAACGTAAAAATATATACTTGATGATAATAGTAAACAGGGAAATGTATTCTAGATTCAAGCAAGACTGTTAGTCATCAAATGCTGAACTGAGTGGTTAACTGTAAACCCTAGCAAACGTATGGATTTAGTTTTCCTAAGTCATTATTTTTCCGATGCTTTATCATAAATATATGGAACTCAGCTAGCTCTTATTAACTAAATTCAATTCTCAGGGCTCCTGCTACCACTGAAATGTCAACAATATGCACAAAAATGTTCCTTCTAGGAGACCCATAGGCCCATTTGATTACTTTTAGAAATAACAGTAGTTAATAGTGTGACTTCAAGGCTGTTATTAAAACTTACTCATTTATATTTAAATATTTTTACTCTAAACATGGAATTTATTTTTTAAGATCCTTGGTATCAAAGTCAAAACTGATTTATTTTTTTCTGTTGAAACCAAAAACTTATGTACACAGAATTCTGAGAAAATGAAACCTTATCAGGAAGCTTGCACATGTATAAACTTTTTGGTAAGGACAATTATAAAAAGAGGTCATCCTTAGGAATCTATTCAAAGTTAATGACCCCACAAAAAAAGAGAAAACTGCTAAGGTAAAGTTGTAAGGATCTGCTTCCAGGTATCAGCATGCTCACCAAACACAGTTCACCAAGAAGAGCCCAAGAGCACTGGAAAAGGTTGTTCTTGAGCAATTTTGTTAGAAGGGAAGGGGAAGCCAAAAGGAGTGGAGTCTTCTTCTTAGGATAAAAATATATTTTACACAACCCCTCATCTGAATTGAATATGGCTACCTGTTATCTTCAAAACTGAAAAGAAAAATCGCCTATATTGACCTTTCTACTTAGGGCCAGTCTCTCTGAAGATCTGCTGTGTCTTCTAGAGTCTGTCAATCATAGTTTAAAATTACCTTGATTTGTTTTTTACCTGTATCAGAAAGGTGGCTAGTCTTACACAGGAGATCTAATTTTCGGTTCCACACACACAGGTCATTCCCACCAGAAAGCCAAACATCTAGTCTCTGAAGAACAGTCAAACACTGCAAAACGTATTAGAAATGTTTATCAGGTTAGAAATTCAAGCAGTCATTGTTCAGTGGTTTTAAAATACGTCCACAAGTTCTTTAACCCCTTCCTTCAATAGGTGGAGCTTATTTTTCCTTAGCAGAGCATGTGGGCACTACTAAGTGACTAGCTTCTACCAAACAGAATGTGGCAGGAGGCATGGTGTGTGACTTACAAGACTAAGTCATAAAAGACACTGTGGCCCCCTCCTAGTTCTCTTGGATTACGTGCTCTAAGGTGAAGACACTCAAGTGATCACATGGAGAAATGTCCATGTAGCAAGGAGCTAAGGCCTCTGGGCAACTACCAGCAGTAACTTGCCAAGCACGTAGGTGAGCTTCCTGGGAGGAAGCTTCTCCACCACAGTCAAGCCTTCAGATAGCATGAACCACCCAGATAAGATGGCTTCTAGTCCTGATCACGAACGCTGTGAGATGACAAATGTTTGTTGTTTTACGCCACTAAGATTTGAGGTAATTTGTTACTCAGTAATAAATTACTAATGCACAATTGCTTAAACTCCATTTTAAATCAAACTGAAACTATGACCTCAGTTTCTCTGTATCTGTAGAATAAATAACACCTAAGTCTTCTCAATTCTACGCGTTTGGTAGACTCGAAAATGAATGTTTCAAGTACCGCATAAGCCCTTGACCTGTAATAGTACTCTCCTTGCCCACTGACTCTGAGAAAAAGAGCAAGAGCAAGCAAGAGAGAAGAGAAAATAAAAGGCAGAGAGTAACTTTGCCTAGGCTGAGTAGGACTGCTTTTAAAACTGTTGGATTAAAACAGAGTTGAAAATAACCAATTCAGTGGCCCTACCCTGTCTAATCTCTGAATTTTTTATGCCAGTATTTCATTTCTTTTTATTGCCAAACAGTATTCCACTGTGTGGGTATACATTGTGCTTATTCATCAGCTGATGGACATTTAGGTTGTTTCCCTTTTTGACTATTATGAACAATGTTGCTATGAACAATCATCTACACATTTTTATATGGACTAACACTTTCATATCTCTTGGGGATATACCGAGACGTGAGACTGCTGGGTCAAATGATAATTCTGTGTTTTCCAAGATGGTTGTATCATTCTAGATCCCACCAGCAATGTATGAAGGTTACAACTGCTCCACATTCTTACCAACAGTTGTCTTTTAGATATGAAGCCACTCTAATATGTATGAAACAGTACTTTACTGTGGTTTTGACTTGCATTTCTCTAATGACTAATGATGTTAAAACTCCTTTTCATGTGATTATCTGACATTTGTTTATCTTCTTTGGAAAAATTTTTCTTTCAAATCTTTTGTCTATTTTTACTTGGAGTATTTGCCTTTTTATTGTTGGATTCTTTATATATTGTAGACACAAGTCCCTTATCAGATATACGATTTGAAAATATTTTCTCCAATTCTGTGGGCTGTCTTTTCACTTTTAAGCACAAAAACTTTGCATTTTAATGAGATCCAATTTATCTTTTTTTGTTGTTGTTGATATGCTTTTAATGTCTATTTAAGATACCTAGCTCAAGGTCACAAAGATCTGCTCCTGTATTTCTCCCTAGATTTCTGTAGTTTCAGCTCTTACATTTGGGTCTTTGAGTGTTTCATCAATCCATTTTGAGTTAACTTTTGGCTATGACATGAGGTAGAGATAAAATTTCATTATTTTGTATGTGGATGTCCAATTGACACAGCACCATTTTTTGAAGAGACTATTCTTTCACCCATTAGAGGTTCTTGGCATGCTTGTCAAAAAATCAATTGGCTATGTGAGACTTTATTTCTGGACCTTTAATTCTATTCAATTGATCTGCATGTCTATCGTTATGCCAATACCACAGTCTTGACTACTGTAGCTTCATATTGAGTTCTGAAATTGGGAAGTGTGTCTTGCTACTTTGTTTTTCCATTTGAAGATTGTCTTGGCTATTCTGGGTCCCTTGCACTCCCATATGAATTTTAGAATCAGCTTGTCAATTTCTCAAAAAAAAAAAAAAAAGTCAGCTACAATTTTGATAAAGATTGGGTTCAATCTGTAGATCAATGTGGGTAGTGGTAGAATCATAACAACAGTAAATCTGATCCATATACTAAGGATGTCTTTCCATTTATTTAGATCTTTAATATCATAGTTTGGGGTATATAAATCTCACACTTCTTTAAATTTCTTCTAATAGTGATGGAGTATTACTATGTTGGCCAGGTTGGTCTTGAACAGTTGGCCTCAAGCAGTCCTCCCACCGTGGCCTCCCAAAGTGCTAGGATTATAGGCATAAGACATCACACCCAGCCTAAATCTATTTCTGAGTATTTTATTCTTTTGGATGCTGCTGTAAATGGAATAACAGAATTATTTCTTAATTTCATTTTTGGATGTTCATTGCTAGTGAATAGAAATACAGTTGATTTCTGTGTGTTGATGTTATATCCTGAAGCCTTGCTAAATCCATTCATTAGCCTGAATAGTTTGGTTGTGTACTTAGGATTTTTTATATACACAAGATCATGTCATTTGGGAACAGAGATAGTTTTATTTCTTCTTTTCCAATATGGATGTCATTTATTTTTTTATTGCCCAACTGCCCTAGCTGGAACCTCCAGTACAATGTTAAACAGATGTGCTGAGAGCAGACATCCTTACCTTGTGCCTGATCTTTGGGGGAAATTATTTGTCCTTCAGCATTTTTTTTTTTTTTTTTTGGAGACAGGGTCTCCCTCTATCGCCCAGGCTAGGGTGCAGTGGCACAACTGCCACTGCAGCCTCGAACTCCTGGACTCAAGGGATCCTTCCACCTCAGCCTCCCAAGTAACTGGGATTACAGGCACGTGCCACTAGGCCCAACTGATTTTCCTTTTCTTTCTTTTTTTAATTGTACTGTAAGTTCTGGGGTACATGTGCAGATCTTGCAGGATTGTTGCATGGGTACACATATACCATGGTGGTTTGCTCTCTCCATCCCCCTGTCACCTACATCAGGCATTTCTCCCAATGTTATCCCTCCCCAACATCCCCACTCCCTGCTGTCCTTCCCCTAGCCCCCCACCCCCCAAGAGACCCCAGTGTGTGATGTTCCCCTCCCTGTACCAAGTGTTCGCATTGTGCAACACCTGCCTATGAATGAGAACATGTGTTGTTTGGTTTTCTGTTCTTGTGTCAGTTTGCTGAGAATGATGGTTTCCAGATTCATCCATATCCCTACAAAGGATACGAACTCATCCTTTTTTATGGATGCACAGTATTCCGTGGTGTATATGTGCCACATTTTCCTTGTCCAGTCTATCATGGATGGGCATTTGGGTTGATTCCAAGTCTTTGCTATTATAAACAGTGCCAAAATGAACATACATGTGCATGTGTCTTTATCACAGAATGATTTATAATCCTTTGGGTATATACCCAGTAATGGGATCGCTGGATCAAATGGAATTTCTATTTCTAAACTGTTGAGGAATCGCCACACTGTCTTCCACAATGGTTGAACTAATTTACACTCCCACCAACAAGAGTGTTCCTATTTCTCCACATCCTCTCCAGCATCTGTTGTCTCCAGATTTTTTAATGATCACCATTCTAACTGGCGTGAGATGGTATTTCAATGTAGTTTTGATTTGCATTTCTCTAATGACCAGTGATGATGAGCATTTTTTCATATGTTTGGTGGCCGCATACATGTCTTCTTTTGAAGAGAGTCTTTTCTTACCTTTCACCGACTTTTGAATGGGTTATTTTTTTACTTGTAGATCTGCTTTAGTTCTTTGTAGATTCTGGATATTAGCCTTTGTCAGATGGGTAGATTGCAAAAATTTTCTCCCATTCTATTGGTTGCCAGTTCACTCTAATGATAGTTTCTTTTGCTGTGCAGAAACTCTTAAGTGTAATCAGATCCCATTTGTCTATTTTGGCTTTTGTTGCCATTGCTTTTGGTACTTTAGTCATGAAGTCCTTGCCTATGCCTATGTCCTGAATGGTTTTGTCTAGGTTTTCTTCTAGAGTTTTTATGGTGTTAGGTCTTATGTTTAGATCTTTAATCCATTTGGAGTTAATTTTAGTGTAAGGTGTAAGGATGGGGGGTCCAGTTTCAGCTTCTGGCACATGGCTAGCCAGTTTTCCCAACACCATTTATTGAACAGGGAATCCTTTCCCTATTGGCTGTTTTTGTCAGGTTTGTCAAAGATCAGATATTTGTAGATGTGTGGCGCTAATTCCGAGGCCTCTGTTCCGTTCCATTGGTCTATATCTCTGTTTTGGTACCAGTACCATGCTGTTTTGATTACCGTAGCCTTGTAGTATAGTTTGAAGTCAGGTAGCGTGACATCTCCAGCTTTGTTCTCTTTGCTTAGGATTGTCTTGGCTATGTGGGCTCTCTTTTGGTTCCAAATGAAGTTTAACGTGGTTTTTTCCAGTTCTGTGAAAAGGGTCATAGGTATTGTGATGGGGATACCATTGAATCTACAAATGACTTCGGGCAGTATGGCCATTTTCATAATATTGATTCTTCCTAACCACGAACATGGCATGTGCCTTGGGGTTGCTCTTCTTGAGGAATATATTTGTGGCATTCTCTATATTTCCTGGACTTGAATATTGGCCTGCCTTGCTAAGATGGGGAAGTTCTCCTGGATAATATTCTAGAGTGTTTTTCAGCTTGGATTCATTCTCCCCGTCACATTCAGGTACACCGATCAAGCACAGATTAGGTCTTTTCACATAATCCCATATTTCTTGGAGGCTTTGTTCATTTCTTTTCACTCTCTTTTTCTCTAATCTTGCCTTCATATTTTATTTCATTGAGTTGATCTTCAATCTCTGATACCCTTTACTCTGCTTGATCTATTCAGCTATTGAAACTTGTGTACACTTTGTGAAGTTCTCATGCTGTGTTTTTTAGTTCTATCAAATCAGTTATTTTCTTGTCTAAGCTGGCTTTTCTAGTTCGCATTTCATCTAACATTTCTTCAAGGTTTTTAGTGTCTTTGCATTGGGTTAGAACATGTTCCTTTAGCTCACAGATTGTTACTACCCACTTTCTGAAGCCTGCTTCTGTCAATTCATTAAACTCATTCTCCATCCTGTTTTGTTCCCTTGCTGGTGAAGAGCTGTAATCCCTTGGAGGAGGAGAGGTGATCTGGTCTTTGATGGTTTTATCCTTTTTGTGCTGGTTTCTTCCCATCTTCGTGGATTTATCCACCTTTGATCTTTGAAGTTGCTGATTGCTGATGGGGTCTCTGAGTGGACATCCTTTCTGTTGATGTTGAAGCTATTTCTTTTGGTTTTTTAGTTTTCCTTCTGACAGTCTGGTCCCTCTGCTGTAGGACTGCTAGAGGTCCATTCCAGACCTTGCTTGCCTGGGAACCACCAATGAGGTTTGCAGTATAGCAAGGATTGCTGCCTGATCTTTCCCCTGATAGCTTCGTCCCAGAAGGGTACACACCACGTGTCAGCCAGAGCTCTTCTCTATGAGGGGTCTTTTGGTTATACAGGGGTCAGGGAGTCACTTGAGAAGGCAATCTGTCCCTTGTCTGCCTGTGAAAAGACCTAATCTATGCTTGATTAGGCTGAGGAAATTCTCATCTATTCCTAATTTGTTGCCTGCAGAGGAGCTGCTGAACTGTCACAGACTCAGTCCAGCTGCTATGTAAGCTTCCTCTGGCTTTTGGTTTACACAGGTAGGTTTAGATCCGCCTCAGCAATGGCAGATGCCCTTCCCCCAGCCAAGCTCAATCATCTCAGGTTGAGCTCGAACTGATATGCTGGTTGTGAAACTCTCATGCAAGAGGGCTTCAGTTTGCTGGTCTTTGTGGGGGTGGGACCTGCCCAGCCTTATCACCTGCTTTCAGCTCCCCTTCTTTCTAGGGAGTGGGTAGCTCTGTCCTGCAGGCACTCTCAGTGCTAGCCAAAATGTCTGCCCAGATCTGTGCCGACAACCCACAGTGCCAGCTGGAGCTGCCTCTCAGATCCGTGCTGTTAATTTGGGGCACTTTTCAGCCTGGTGGGGATCTCCTGGTCTGTGGGTTGCAGAGCCCATGGGAGAAGTGCAGTATCTGAACCAGAGTGCTGGAGGGGAGAAGTTCCTGATCCTCTAGTCAGCTGCACTTCCCAGGTGAGGCAGTGCCCCGCCCTGCCTTGGTTTGCCTTCCTTGGGCTACACTCACTGTCCAACCAGTCCCATTGAAATGAACCTGGTACCTCAGCTGGAAATATGGAGCTCTCTCGCCTTCTGTGTCTCTTGCTGGGAACTGTGCTCTGGGGCTGTTCCTATTCAGCCATCTTGGCGGAATCCCCTCCTTTTTTTTTTTTTTTTTTTTTTGGTAGAGAAGAAGTTTCACCATGTTGCTGAGGCTTGTCTCGAACTCCTGAGCTCATGTGATCCACTCACCTCGGTCTCCCAAAGTTCTGGAATTGCAGGCATAAGCCACCACAACCCGCCTCCCCTTTCACCGTTAATATGAAATTAGCTATGAGATTTTCACAGATGCCCTTTATTAGGCTGAGGAAATTCTCATCTATTCCTAATTTGTTGAGTATTTTTATCACAAGTGTTGTCGAGTTTGTCAAATGCTTTCTCTGTTTCTATTGCAACGATCCTGTGGTTTTTATCCTTTATTCTTACTATGGTATCTGCTTCCTTTTTAGATGTCGCTGGATTTGGTTTGATAATATTTTGTTGAGAATAACTTAGGTTTTGTTTCTTAACATTTTACCCCTAGCGTTTTCCTCTTTTAATATTCTTCTGAAATATAATTTTTAGTATATATATCTACCATAATTTATTTTCTTATAAGACATGTAGGGCACTTCCAATCATCCATTTATAAAAATGTACTTGTAGTACACATTTCTGTTTATAAATCTCTGCCCTATTTTCTGATTATTTCCTTTAAAGAGTTTTCTAGAATATCACTGGATTAATGCCTATAATAATTTCTTTAGATTCATTCATAATGCCAAACTACTTTCTGGGAAGATCATATCAATTTATAGTCTCAATATGCAATAAAATGCCAATTTCACTATCTCCTTGCTAACATCAACCCTTATAAAAATTTTTGCTGGTTCAAAAACTAAATAATAGTATTTCTTATATTAGGGTTATAAATTTCTTTGATAAACTATCTATTCAAGAACAACTTAACCACTGAACTAAATGAATGCAATGCAATTTTTTTTTTTAGCAATATTTGTGTGAAACAGGATTACAGCAGGAGAAAACAAATACAAATATGGAGCTGATTCACATTATAGTAAAACCCCTTTTAAAACTACTTTGAGTATACTGGAATAAGATACTTTTTATGTGACCAGTTCCCATAACCAGTTCATAACACAGTTTACCAAAGGAATTTCCCCCAAATACATTAAATTTTTTCTCCTCCTTTGTTCCTTCATGCCACATCTTTTCATTGGAAACTTAATGACCTTAGTTTTTCAGACAGCAAGAATATTTTTAAAGGAATGTAAAAGGTGCATGATTTAGGTCACATAAAGTATAGAGATTTTAGTCAAATCAATACTTTAATGTCTTCTTAAAAAATCCATTGTTAAGTTAGATATGAGCATATATAGTATATGGCACTTTCTTCCCCTGAAACTTTACTAAGTTGATACTTTTAACAGCACAGTGCCATGAGATGGATACTACTGGCACACAACAATTCTTTTAACATTAAGAAGAAAAGGAACAAAAGAGTTAGCTCCAATATAAAGATCAGTTATCCTTAAAGTAAATGAGGCAACATCTAATACTACTACTACCTTTTCCAAAATGTGGTTATATTACTAAAAAACAGTGGTACTTTCTCCAAACACTTAAGGTAATTTCTGTAGAAATCATAAGCAACCCAGTATTACCTATGTTTGTTTCTCTAAAATGTAGCAGAGTTCCTGTCATATAATAAGCCCCAATTAATATTTGTTTGTAAAATGAATAAACCTAACAGTAGCAGCAAATTAGCCATATAAGATTTTTAGTTTTGAAACTAAGTAACTGACATGTCTTACCTTTATGACCTTAGAGAAGGTGGAGGTCAAGGGACAAATTACTGTATATTTTAAATTCAAAGTATAAAAAAAACAGACCAGCCACTATTGTGGTCATTATGCAAGTAATATTTTTTCCTAGAATTACCTATAAAAACATACCAGGTACTACCTTTTTGCTTATCTTGCTACAGGGATTATCCCTTGCTCTAAATTCAAATTGAAACATTCTACCACTTAATATATATGCTCTCAAAAATCTGGTCTTAGAAGAATCAAATGACAACAGGTATCTGAAAGAAACAATTCGTAAGACCCACAAAAGTAATTTCCTCTAACTTTTTAAACCATGTCTTCTCAGACAAAAACAGACTGCCATATTAAAGATTTTACCTTTACAGTAGACTGGAAGCAAGATATTCTCTGAACTTGTCTGCCATTCTCACTGTCCCACACCTAAATTTATGTTAAGGAATAATTTCTAAACAGAGGTTTAAAATCTTAATTATGAGATAACTTTTCTAATTAACAATTAAACCACAAAAATGTCAAGCAGTTAGAAAATCTTTAAATAAAACATAAAATAGTTAAGTGTTTATACTACCACAAAAATGAATTCATGTAGTGAGTCATCAACTTAACAGAGCAGGCTTATGATCTAAAATAAGTTTGACATAAATTTTACTATCAAATTATTTGAAAATACCAACAGAATGAGTGGTCTGAAATACTGAATCTTTACAAGCACCACATACTGCAACTGTTTAAAGTTTATTCTCCAGAATAGTCTACCATAATCTAATAAGCATGAACATAAAGTACTTATACCAAAAACTATCATGTCCATTAATATTTACTGAAAGCTCCTTATAATGTGGAAAGAATGATTTACTACTGTTATCCTGATTTGAGAAGACACTAACAGTGTATTACTATTATGAATATGCACTTAATATAATCAGAGGGCCTCTCATAAAACATCCAAGTTTAGTTTGACTTAAGCAGCACAATGATTTTCAAACTTTTACATCATTTCCTGTAGTAAGAAATACATTTTACACCATGTCTGAAAACAAATTTACATACATATATATATATATATATATATATACTATGTATACAAATGTATATGCATGTATTAAAAATTGAACCTAATTTTACAAACTAGTTAACCTTATCATGTCCAATGCCTTTTGTTATATTTGTATTATACAGATGTGCCTGGACTTAGAGAAACAATAAACCCATTCTAAGTGGAAAACATTCTAAATTGAAATGCATTTAACACATCTATCAAACATTGTAGCTTAGGCTGGTCTAACTTACATGTGCTTAGAACACTTACATAAGCCTACAGTTGGGCGAAAAAATAAGTCCTCTGGCAACACAGTAACTGTAGAGTAAGGCTGTTTACCCTTGAGATCTCATAGCTGACCAGGAGCTGTAGCTCCAGGCTGCTGCTGCACAGCACTGGGAAAGACGACTGTCCCATGTATCACTAGTATGGGAAAATATCAAACTTCAACAGTTTCCACTTCATGCAGCTCACTTTCACACCATCATAAAGTTGAAAAATTGTAAGTCAAACCGCCCAGGGTGGGGACTATCTATATTCTATGTCATGTTTTAGATGGAGCTAGATTATAAGAATTGCATTTTATGTATGTAACACACTAAAGAAAGTGCTAGCATATAAAAAGTGCTCCCAGTAATTAGGAAATGTTTTCTGGCCTTACATTTACCAGAATTCTAGTAGTATCTCACAGCCTTTTCACTTATTTCACTATTCACAAGCTGAATATTTAATATTCAGTAACTTGGGCTCTTAAGGCTTTAAAGAATTACCTACCTGACCCAAACACAGTGGTTCATGCCTGTAATCCCAGCACTTTGGGAGGCCAAGGCAAGTAGATCATGAGGTTAAGAGATAGAGACCATCCTGGCCAAAATGGTGAAACCCTGTCTCTCTACTAAAAATAAAAAAATTAGCTGGGTGTGGGGGTGCACAGCTATAGTCCCAGCTACTCAGGAGGCTGAGGCAGGAGAATCACTTGAACTCGGGAGGCAGAGGTTGCAGTGAGCTGAGATTGTACCACTGCACTCTAGCCTGGTGACAAAGTGAGACTCAGTCTCAAAAAAAAGAAAATCTACTTCAGCATTTAATTAAGAAAGTTTTTTACAGGTTGAGTATCCCTTATCCAAAATGCTTAAGACCAGAGTGTTTCTGATTTTTTCTTTTTTTCGGAATTTAGAATATGTACATATCATAATGAGCTATCTTGGGGATGGAACCCATGCCTAAACACAAAATTCATTTATTTTCAGATATACCTTATACACATAACCTGAAGGTAGTTTTATACAGTATTTTTGGTAATTCTGTGCATTAAACAAAATTTTGGCTGCAACCTGTCACATGATGTCAGGTAGAAAATATTCCACTTGTGGCATCACATCAGTGCTTAAAAAGTTTTGGATTTTGGAGCATTTCAGATTTTGGTTTTTCAGATTAGGGATGCTCAACCTGTAGTAAAAACCCAAACAGAGTAAATTTAGAACTCATATGGGTAAAAGAGACTTCCAAATAAGCGGCCTAGAATTTTTTCTAACAAAAGTCATTCAGCAAAGGAAATGAGTCCATACTATCACTTACAGGTAAAATTCATAGTGACACTGTCCCAGCTAACTGTACTAACTTCTGTACTATAATTTTAATCACTGCCTCAAAATATTGTTACAGTGTCTTAGTAGTGGTCTAATAAAAAGAAAGTATTTTAAATTATATTTTTGCAAAAATTACACTGATACTGAAAAAGAGCATTAGTAAATAAAATATTTGCCTCTATAGAGCAGTAGTAATAAAGCAACTCTGACCTAACCATCTGAATGAATTTTATGCCCTTGTTTATGCTGTATCATAATCACATACAAATATAATACATACATGTGTTCATGTATATATGTGTGTATGTACAGAAAGAGTTTATTCCCATTTAAACCTTTTCTTGACATTTTTTCAGCTATAAACCATCTAGAAACCACTTCAGCTGATGAACTCATTTAAAGCATGTTAGAGTCTTTGTCTTGGTTCTATAAGAGCCCAAGAAACACCTACACCTTTGGGCTTATTCCAAAACTTAATTTCACCAATGCTTGAAACTTTTTAAACATAACTTCCAGATAAGCATATACTTATGCTTATCTTGGCTGGGCACGGTGGCTCATGCCTGTAATCCCAGCACTTTGGGAGGCCAAGGAGGGAAGATCACAAGGTCAGAAGTTCGAGACCAGCCTGGCCAATAAGGTGAAACCTAGTCTCTACTAAAAACACACAAAAAACTAGCCAGGTGTGGTGGCATACGCCTGTAGTCCCAGCTACTTGGGAGTAGCTTGAACCTAGGAGGCAGAGGTTGTAGTGAGATCATACCACTGCACTCCAGCCTGGGTGACAGCAAGATTCCATCTCAAAAGAAAAAAGAAAAGAAAAAAAGAAAAATTAATCCAACATCTTTTTTTAAAAAAAATGAAAGACTAAGTTATCTATAGCACTTGACTCTGGACTTCACAAATCCAGTTCCTCATACAGATATCAAAGAGCTAAATCTGTTTACAGAAAACATTTTATGAATGCAGTATTGCATAGTGGTTCGGAAGACTGACTCTGCAGTCAGACTACTTGCCAGTTCTGCCCTACACTGGCTGTGTGCCTTGAGGAAGTTACTCAACCTCTCTGTGACTCTATTATTTCATCTGTAAATAAGAATAATTAAAAATACCTATGTCAAATGGCTAATTTTAAAGATGAAATGAGTTAATATATGTAAAACAATTAGAACAATGCCTGTTACACATAGCATTTTACTACTGCTGCTCCATCTTAACTTTTTACCTCAAGTACGCGTAAAGAAAAAGTAATTTTACTTTTATAAAACTTTTTAATTATTAAATATTAAACACAGAGCAAACAGTAATTCACTTTTCTATCAGACTCAGATGCTAAAAAGATTTTTATGGGTTGGGACCATTTGGTTTCTTCTGCTGCATAGTGAGAAAAAGAAATATGGATTATTCTCCAGTTCTAGTCATCATTGTTTCCCTAAATTGAAAAGCAAATTGAGATAATAAAATAAATATTTTTAAGTCCACATTCTCCCATTTCCCCAATTTTATACAACCTGATGGAGTAACTCTGGAAAGAACAGCATTAGTCATGGAGTTTCCATCAATCAGAAGTTTTAACCTCCTATTTCCAGTCTAATACTTTTCAGATGCCTAATAAATGGTATCTTATAAAGAACAGAACAAAATCATTTTTGCTAAAACAAGAATATACAGACAAGACCCTATCAGCTAAAGACTATGTAGTGGCTCGTTGGGCAACTATAGCACATTCATTTCTTCCAGATTAAAGGATATAATAACTGTTCTATCAGCAGAGGCTGTCAAGATGAGTTGATGTTTTTCTTCACAAGATTCCAAGGAAGGAAATGTAACAATAGCTGTTATCTTTTGAGTGTGTCCATTCAGTTCTAAAAGTTTTTCCCCTGTCTGAAATACCATAAAAATGTTAATAGGCTTAGCTTTCACAATTTAGATAATCATAAATGACAATATTAAGTAGAACTGCCATATAGAAGATACATATGCATTCCATTTAAAATTACTTTTTCAGAATTTATTTAACTTGGGCAATCACACAAAATGTAAACAAATGCTGAAAGAATAGCCATAAACAATTTTGATTATTTTCTAATACAAAAATGCTAATATTTAGTGTATTTTTACAAAAAATGTTAAGGAGTATTCTTTTTTCTAAATTTCAAAAATATAATTGTGTAAATTAAGCATAAAAACATCAGTAACTTAATTTGTAGGAAAAAAATAGGGAGTCCTCATTGTCCAAGTATTTGTTATTTAAGTCTTCACAATTATAAGGTTGTAGAAGAAAATCAAAGTCAGCATAACTGTATACATATCTACACACACAAATATATATATATATATATATATATATATATATATATATAGCGCCACTAGTTTGTTAACCACTTAGAAAGTTAGTTGCCACTCCATCTCTATTTAACACCAACATCTATTCCCACCCATCCAATGTCTTCATCCATCAGTCTCTCACTAATTTTCCAAGTAGTAAACATGCAAAAATACAATGTAAGTTGCAAATCTTTCGAAGATTGCAGGATTTCATGAATGTGGTGAAAATAATGTTAGAGAACTACTTTTATCACAGGCAAAGCCATTGAAAAATAAAGATCTGACAGAGTCAGACTAGATAACAATCCAAAATAAAGGCAAAAGGAAGATAAATACTTCAGAAAAGAATAATTTGAGTAACAAATGATCAGGAAGAGAGGTTCTGGAGAAACTTGGTGAAGCCTTATTTTTTTTTTTTAAAGTCTTTAGTAATATCAAGTCAAACATGAGAAGAATGCTATATTATGCTATCATACAATGTTGAAAGAAAACTTGTGTGTCTCACAAAAATCAACATAATTCATTTATTCATTTTGGATGAATTCATTTATTCATTTTTAAGCTATCAGGGCATAGCTACTGGTAACTTAAATTTTTGTTAAATAAGATAAAAATTTTGTATTTTTAAATTTTTCATAATTTGGCAATTGTTTCTTAGGAAAAAATCTTTTTTTTTTTTGGGAGACAGTCTCACTGTGTCACCCAGGCTGGAGTGCAGTGGCATGATCTCAGCTCACTGCAACCTCTGCCTCCCAGGTTCAAGCAATTCTCAGGCCTTAGCTTCCTGAGTAACTGGGATTACAGGTGTGTGCCACTATGCCCGGCTGATTTCCACTTTTAGTAGTAGAGACAAGGTCTTGCTGTGTTGGCCAAGCTGTCTCAAACTCCTGGGCCCAAGTTATCCCTCTGTCCTCGTCTCCCAAAGTGCTGGGATTATACGCATGAGCCACCACACCCAGCCAGAAAAAAAAAATCTTAATTTATGAAAACTTTCCCTCTTCATTATGAAATACTGGTCCCCATTGTAAATGGATTTATTCTAAGTAGCCCTTTATAATAATGCTACGCACATATATCCCCAGATAGTATATGAATGCATACTCCACTATATCGTATCTTTATTACACAATCCACACATAATCAGTACACACCTGGGCATTCCACACAACTATAATTCCATCATCACCAGCAGATGCAAATCTAGTTAAGGAAAAAGAGAGTCAAGAAAAAAAAAAATCACTGGTGACATTTAATTACTAGGATTAAGAACCATCAAACCTTATTAGCGGTAATTTGACTTACTAATATTAATGAAGATCAAATTCTTTAAGCTAATTTTAAAAATATTTATGAAACACATTCCCGGTTCTATACCAGGTATGGAAGATCAAACAATAAATAACACATTTATTGGGTTACAAATAATAACCTGCTAGAAATGTAAAAATACTTTAAAGTCCTTCTTTGCTTTAAAATTCTATGATTTTAAGAAATCCCTGGCTTAAATGAAATGAAACCAAGCTGAGAAGTGGCTTCAGTGATAGAAAGTGATATTCCAGGGGTGGCACAGATTATGATGTTAGATAAATTCATTATTTCTATTATTCTCTCTGTAAACAACTATTGTTTAAAGTCAAGATCTCTCCTTTGCCCAGATTAACTCCTTAGACTTTCCACATAAATGGTTTGTTCTTGGTTTGGAAGGTTTGAGGATTTTTAAGGGTTTTTTGTTGTTTTTTAGCGAAGATGCTTGAAATGCGGAGGTAAAGTCTGTCTCTTGGCATGAAAAACGAGCTGTGATACTCTGCTATAGCTTCTCTCTCCTTTTTACAACCCATTCACCATATATATGGGGACAATCACCAAATTCTGTAGAGTAGAAGATATCCTTAACACAAACACTATCAAGAGGAATGACCCTCATACAGGATTATTCATCATCATATTATACTAAAATTCATCATCATCGTATTATACTAACCCAACACAGTAGAATACAATAATCACATTTTAAGCACGTGAAATAATTTATTGTTAATGTCACACACAAGTTCATACATAATATTTAACGACTCAGAATCAGTTTAAAATTGTCCCCATAATATTGCTTTGACTCAAATTCAGGTGTTTTTATTTTGAGTAAGAGAGAAAGAAGTGGTGTTAAAGAGACCCAGCTATGAATGACATATAACTGGTCCCTTATAATGAACAACCATTAAGAAATGATATTCTACTAATAGCTCTGGGCTATTAATATGCAAATATATTTAACAATCTGCTGTGAGTTTCACAAAATCTGAGTATGTCTTGATGTCTTAATTCAAGAAAACATTTTTACATACATGTATCGTTGAGGGAAAAGGAGAGAACGAATACACTGGACACAGAAATCACTTTGTTCCTAGGACAGCATCTGTTCTAATGGACTTTACCCCTTTATGAGATAAGAAAATCCCACTACTTCAGTCATGCAATACTTTCCTTAACACTTCAAAATAAGCTTCATGTCCAAATTTCTTATCTTCAGTTTCAAAGTTCAGTGTCTTCACTGGCTCAGACAATTTCCATGCTCAGTTCTTATTTCAAAACCCTTTGAGTACATCTATTTCTGGCAGAACTAAGAGTATTCAGGTGGTATGAAATTGATCAAATACAGTCTGACAAAGTCTTTTAATAATTTTTAAATATAGAGCTATATATCTTTAATGGAAAGGACCTTTTAAATGTAGGTAACTAGATGAAAATCACAAAAAGAGTTATTTTTAAATACATGCCTATTACTTATTCTTATTTTAAAAAGATACAAAAGGTCCAAAGATTTTAAAAAATGATCATTTTAAAAATAAAAATACATTTCCTATGCTTAATTATCTACATTTTCGCAATCATATTAGTAAACAGTACCTTAAATATCAAAAATAGCTGCTAGAAGTAAATCTGTAGCAGCTTATGTTTCTGGGGCTATTGATTTCTTTTTTGTGTGTGTAGTGATGGTAGGGAGGGCAGGACTCAAGGTCTTAAGTGTTCTTTGTTATAACACATCAATTTCTATTGATTCATTAAACTCATAATTGCTTTTCTGCCTTTTAGAATACTGCAAGTTTAAAATACATACTTTTTTTCTCACCCTAACTTTTAACTTATTACTGTTTTATGTTTGACTTTCATGAGTTCACAAGGAGAGACTGAGAACAGCTGAGAGTTTAGAAATTGGATATACAGCATTTCGCCTCACACTTTAATTCAATCAGTAGGGAACAAAAGTTAAATCTAAACAAGGCTCAACAGTAATGTATAAAATCTCAGCCAATTTTTTATTGCTCCAATGTCAATTATCGGGTTGGTAGAATATTTAGGCCTTTTATTCCTTTATATATTCTAATGCTACTTTTTTTTTCTTTTTTTGCCATTTCAGTATTTATTACTATCACCCCTAAAAAGGAAACATTAAGCTTTAAAATACAAACCAGTATAACTTTGATACATATTAGTACCTGTCATTTAAAAAAAACTAACAAAGGGTTGCAATATCATTCACAAATTACAATTACCCATCCTATTATGATGGATAACTAAAAAGTAGCTATACTGTATCATTTATCTTAAACTAAACCCTAGTCAGTCAAGCATACACTTCAACCATCTCCAAATCAGAAATGAAAATACAACCCAGGAATTTCTAATTGTAAGGCATAGTTTAACTCCCGAAAAGTAATGAACTATAAAATTAAAAAAGGATTCAAATATAAGGTTTAAGCTACACTATCCAATGGAAGAAAAGTGATATTGCCAGACAGCATTTTACATACTAGTTTTTTAAAACACTCTAAATCAATAGATAACAAAAACATAAGCCTGTAGATAAGATTTTGAGAGAAACGTTTCTTTACCGATTAGCAAAAAATGTATTTAGTGTGATTCCATGCTAGGAGTTAGGGAAATGTCAAGACACGTTACCTGTGGTTCTTGCCTTGAGTTCTTAAAACTTAATGATTGTTTAGAAATGTACTGCATTTCATCACATTTAAGATATTAATTGTAAGACACTTTTATTTTATGTACCATTAAGGAAAACATACTGCCAATTACAGTTGAAAGATACAATTGCATGATGTGTCCAAATTTTAGAGATGTTAAAATAGAAAAAAATAGGCTTCTTAGAATTATGAACTATTTAAGAATTACCATATTTACTGATCTTTATAACATGGTACTTGCCAGCCTAATGAATCTCTGACTATGTCTGGCAGATTTTAAGTGCTAAAGAAATGCTTGTTGAAGAACAGAAAACCAAACACCACATGTTCTCACTCATAAGCGGGAGTTGAACAATGAGAACACATGGACACAGGGAGGGAACATCACACACTGGGGCCTGTCAGGGGGTGGGGGCTAGGGGAAGGATAGCAATAAGAGAAATACCTAATGTAGATGATGGGTTGATGGATATAGCAAACCACCATGGCACATGTATACCTATGTAACAAACCTGCACATTCTGCACATGTATCTCAGAACTTAAAGTATAATAATTTTTAAAAGAGAAATGTTTGTTGAATGAATGAATAAGCAAACAGTTAAGTGTTCAAGGGCTCTGTGAACTATATTCATTAATGACAGTAATGTAACCCCACATTTTCCTTTTATCATATCAATACACTACCACAGCAAAATTAAACTTTGAAAAATTTAAAACCCAGGATCCCACCACACACAAAAATAAATTTCTATATTTTTTCACGTTCCTGTCTAATTCTTATCTATACGCTTCAAGTTTTTTTTAAACTTAAAACAAAGTCTTTAAAACTACTCCTTGAGACTACACAATTAAATGACTAAGCACAAATTATATTCATGAAAAACATGTTCAACAAGATGAAACATGGTTTAACAAAGACCTATGGTAGACCTTCTAGAATGTTCCATCCTCTCATCCCTTAATTATGAGAACTAAATTTATTATGATAGTCCATAAGTCACTTGGTCATTCAAGAAATACTTATGAGGAACTAACTATATATATATGCTTAAACCTGAGAATAAAGATCAAGAGATGGTTCTTGACCTTCAAGAACTCACAGTCCAACATTACTAAGTGATGCTATAGGGTCTAGATCATGAGTCCTTAGAGAATATACTTACAACCATCTTAATTTATAAAAATAATTCCCTCTAAACACCTTCTCTTTGAACATCTCTGAGAAAATATTCCCTCGTTCCTTCCAAAAGTGAGCTGAAACTACAGCAAAGCTTAATAAAGATTTGTAAAAAATAGTTTTCACAATTCTTATGTCCAATAGTTACAAACTCATTTAATAGTTCTTACTCATGTGAAGTCATTTCAATTAAGTGAAGGTCCCAAAATTCAAATATTACCTTAAAGGACATAAAAAGCATAGCCCATAAACCTGAACCATAAATCTTCCTATATTCAATGTCTACATAGCTACAAAGCACTAAAAAACTAAATATATTAATAGGACATTATTATGGCAGTACAGGCACCCCAGTGGTTAACTTTCCACCTAACCTACAAGTACTTTCCAATGCATGATAAAACTAAAATACTATGTAGTTTCTGTGATCCTCTCATATTTTTTTTTACAGTTGGAACAGTAAATGAGGTCTAGGCAGGACAATGGTTTGATATATCTCTTAAGTCTCTTTTATTCTATTGTTTTGTTCTCATCTATTTTTTCCTTGCAATCTTTTTTTGAAAAAAGTTGTCTCTCTGAGAGAGATCCAAGATGGCTGATCACTAGCAGCTCGGAATTGTAGCTCCCAGTGAAAACGCAAAAAACGAGAGGACGCCACACCTTCACATGAATTCTTGTTGCTCACGCACCAGGAGATTCCCAGCGGAGGAGCCCCATGGGTCACCAGCGCGACTCTAGTGACTGTCAAGGCGGTTTTGCCGGCGCCTCAGAGCGTCGGTTCTTGGTGCAGAGTCAGAAAAGCACCATCGATCTTAACGCCGCTGATTTAGTCGGTGCAGTGGGTTGCTCAGATTTCGGCGCTGAGAATCAATAAGTTGGACGTCCACTCAGAAACCCAATTACAAAGACGGTAATTATAAAGACCACAGATGGATAAATCTACAACGAAGGGAAGAAAACAGTCAAAAAAGACTGAGAATACCCAAGATCAAAACGCCTCTTCCTCAGCAGGGGATCCCAGTTCCTCATCAGCAATGAAACAAG